AGTAGTATGGCCAGGAGCCCCTAGTAGCGTCCTTGCTCCTAGTAGTAAGGCCAGGAGCCCCTAGTAGCGTCCTCCAAACTCTTAATCTGGGGCTAGTGGAGTAGCCAGTCTCCTCCATAAGTCTATTATGCGACCTTTTCAATCTAGGAGTCCTGCTGCCAACGCGACGCTGTCGGCCAATTGCAGTGTCGGCCAATTGCAGTGTCGACAGGAACTCTTTACAGTGTCGGCCAATTGCCGAGCAACCTGTCTCAGTGCTAAATTTGTTTGTGCAGTCCGTGTCTCACTGCGTCTCTGGACAACTCCCAAGCGCTTGGTGCCGAAAACACAGGTGAACAGCAACCACGATGCTACTCCAAAACAATTCATGGTCCAGAGTCCACAAGGCGCGTTCCTGACATCATGACTGCAACTGTACTTCGAAATTCCCTCGTGGCGCGATACGCCTGGGGCTCTCGCCGAGCAACACAATTTCATTGTCAGCTCCAAGCCCCGGGTTCCGCAGCCAAGTCGATGTCAAATCTGTACGTGGCAGTTGACATCCGATCCACCTGCTGAACGATGCACCTGTTGACATCGGCCAAGATACATCAGTCAATCAAGCCTATAAGAACATCACCCCAGAAGCTGGTGGGGTGGTGACTGCAACCTGAAAGTACCAAAGCTCAATACATTTTGAATGCATCACCGCTACAAGATTTGAAGGACATGGTATATCCAATCCTTAAAACAAGGGCACAATCTTTCACAGGTGGAACACAATCTAATGATTAGCTGAGAAGGATCCACTCCAAACGAACGAAGGTTTGCTTCGCTTTGTCCAAGGGGTCCACCTGGTTGGTTCCCGAGCCACCATTGACCAATCCCTTCGCGCATTTTGTTATAGCACACTGATCCACATGAGCGCCAAGTTTCCAAAAAACCTCGGTGATCCACATTCGTCCCCGCTACACCAAGCGTCGCCGTTTTCGAGGAGCGCCATGAACTTCGTCCAACGGACTTTGTGTGGGTTCGGGGCATCTTCAAAGCGACATGAAATTGAAGTTTCTGTCGCTCGTTTACTTTGAAGAATCCAAATGAGGTGCTCTTCGTATTGACTTCACCAGGCTTCACCAGTGACATGACAGCCCGTGGACCGCAGTGGACCCCTTGAACTTGACGCAATGCTGGGTGAGTGCTTCTCATGCCAAGCTGGGAACACTGCTTGGAAGGGGATGGCCAGCACTCACCATCAAGGCATCCATTGAGAATCGAACTTTCTTGCGATTCACCGTCGCAGTCTGTCTGTCACTTGGATTTGCGTCAGGAACCGAGAAAAACACCTCTTCCCCAGAAGGGGATTCACCTGTAGGGGAAATAAACATCACCCTAAGCAAGACCAAGTACACACGCCTCTCTCTCTCTCTCACTCCTTATTGACTGGTTTTCTAGGCTCTGTCATCATGCCCCTCAACCGTGGGGTCGATCATGTGGTTATTCTCACATGCTCACAAAGAGGAGTTCTGGACTTCTATTCGATGGCGAACATCGACGCTTTCGCATTCGCTCAAGAGACCACAGGAGATACATGTGGAACCTTCAATTTCTGTTGAGACAGAGCTCCGGAACACCTCCTAGATGGACCTTCTCCATCCTTCTCCCATGAATAAAACCTCTTTCTCTGTTGTGGAGGTCTTGATTGGATCAATCATCGCTTCAAGTCCGTGTCGCTAGACGAAATGAACCATCTGCAGGGTGGATGGAGGCCTTGATGCGATGTGTTCGTTGCTGGCCGGAAGGGTTTAAATGTGCTTCAAAATACTCTGATCATCTCTGATCTCCAGGGGCATCCAAGCCATGCGCTCATCATGATCATCATGTCATTAAGACTCAAGGCTGTCTCAGCTCTCCTTTGCTACAAGCTTCTGGTTTTTTCAGTGACCGGTTCAGGTCCTTTAGACAGAAAGGCAAGCTTCTGGTTTTCTTTAGACAGAGGGTATGTGACCTCTTTGAAAGGGTTTAGGCCAAAGCAGCCACTGGTATTTGCAACCCAAGTTACTCATGTTCCTTTGCCCCAAATGGATATGTTCATCCCAACGATGGCAAACCATTGGGAATCTGCGTTCTCTGTGTGATTCTGCGAGCCTGCGAGCGAAGAGACCCCAAGCCACTTCTCCATGTTTGCTGTTTATTGTTCATGATTGCACTAAAAACTCACACGTCGCACGAACAAATCACATGGGCGATGAAGGCCAAGCTACTTTCCTGATGGCCAAGCTGGCCATTCCACCCAGGAAATGTCAGCTTGGGTTGTAGAGGGGTTCAGCACGGTCGTTTCTAGTTGAATTATTGTTTAGTTTTTATGTTGTTTTTAGATATTATTATTGTGGATAATTTTGCTTCAATGCAAACATCCCGCAAAAACCACAACATGGCTACGCATGGCCGCATGGCTTTGGTATCCAGATCTTTCCTGCAGGACAAGGAAAAAGCACCCCTGCAGTGCAAACCAGTGTCGGCAGAGCTGTCCAAGTAGTAAGTAGCATTGGGGTTCTTATTTTTTTGTGCGTGCTGGGAACATTGGGGAACACACAGGTCTTTTCCTGCCCTTTCCTGCAATTGGAGACCCTGCTATGCAATGCAATATCATCTTTTGACTCAATACTTTTCCTGTGTAAAGCTTCTTGCTTGCATTTGGAGACATGATCTGTGTCAAAGGCATCCTTCAATCTTCTGTTTGGTTGATTTATTGAACACGTGTCGTTCTTTCGGGTGGAGTTCGAACGGAGCTCTGTATGCCCAAACAGGTGGTCCAGGGCCGTGAAAAAAAAATCCGGTCGTTCGAATGAAAAAACACGCAGAACCTGCAAGTATCGTGTCACCTTTGCATGGAACCAATGGGAAAGGACAAAAAGTTCCGGAAAAACAACAACTAAAACAACAATCTGAAATTGCACCCGGAGAAAGCAATGGATCTTCCCTTCGCGTGCACATTGGTACAAGGGGGTGAGAAGACCATCTTGTGCCATGTCTATGTTGGTTGATAGACATGTATTTTCTAGGTCTTGCACACCTCTGCTCTCTCCAAAAACTTCACTTCAGCACGCAAGCTCTGCAAGGCCTCTGCAGCCTTGGCTTATTGGCCCGAAACAAACATATGGAACCCAAAAGTACTGCGCACCCAAACCTTAGACCTTTCAGAGACACATCAAATGCCAATCAAATTGAGTTGTACGCACTCCTATGTTTTCTCGTGTTGCATCTACAGGAAGTGACTGAGAAATATGACCTGCCTATCAACCCCAGCTTGCCCACACAGGGCGAGTGCATGTCTGAACAACTTGACGGTTTTCTTGCGTACTGTGACACATGAGGAACTCCATTTGGTCACTCTCAAGCCACATCCCATTCTTTTGGACCTCACACCCATCCAGCCACGATGCCACCATCACCAGATGGCCCCTCATCTCCTTCGCGCAAACCAAGACAATAAGGCTTCCCAAGCTCATGCGTTCCAGGACGTAGCGAATGTTCCGTGGGGTTCGCTGTACATCCGGATGCCCCTCGCCATCCTCGCCATCTTCAAGCGGAGAGCGGATGGTAAGCTCACGCTTCAGCAGTTCCAGCAGCTCACGCGCACCATGAAACTCACTCTCGTCCACACGCTGCTGGATATGAGGAAGAATCATCCTTACGTGGAAACTCAAATAACAGCTTTTGGGGGGCTACCTTTTGCCTCTGATTCATCAATGGGGAAAGGGGTAGATTTCTATGAAACCTTGGTGACAACGAGTCGTTATTGGAGAGACCTATGCAACTGGAAGACAAAGAAGCAACATCACCAAGCTCAAATGTGTTTCCCCTCTGGATGTTGTGCGATCCCCAACTGACCTTGGAGGAGAAAACCATGTCCTTCTAATGGATAAATAAACATGTCGTACATAAGATAAGCACATGGAGGAATGTCAAAACATGCTCATGTGTGCTGAATGCGATAATCTTCAACAGTCGAACACACCACCAAAAACAAACACATGGTCACATCAACCAAAAACCTGAACGTTGCCGAGCTCAGTACTCCAAGCAGCTGGAGAAAATTGGAGTCGGAGAGCTTCTGGAGAAAGTGTCTCTGCTGGAGGTTGAAGCTGGGAAGGCGTGTTTCATGTGGCAAGTGACAAAAGCCACAGGTCGAGCCTCTCCTTAACTGCACCACTCGATGTTGGGGAGACAACTCCCCCAAACCCCATCTAAAGGAGTTGGGAGATTCCAATCAGTTTCCATGACCCCTTGGACATCTTTAAAGTGGTTCCCAAATAGGAAAATTCATGTTGAACATTAGTGTATCTGTTTGAATCCGGCTATTCCTCTACATATATATATATGTTCCGGAATGATTACTGCAGCATGTTATGGTGTATTAATATATTGTATGCATTATTGGGACCCTTCTTGGCTTCAAAACTAAAATTGACTTCTAGACCAATCATCTGACAGGTGTTCCGCACGAAGAGGATACATGGCCTTCGGCACACGTCTGGATGGCCATAACTCCCTGGAGACGGAGCTCCTGGTCGAGCATCAGAACCTCAGAGGTGGTCGGAGGTTGTCAGAACCCCTTGTGTGCCATGCCAAACACCTCTATCCGAAGCCTAAAAACTTTAAAAACACATGCATCATGATGCATCCGAGTTCTTGGCGCCTCGCCAGAAGTCTTACCTGGAAAATCGACCATCAACTCAGTCTGTCCCGTGTTCCGACTGGGCGACCAAGTCTGTCTGAAGTCCGATTCAGTCTTTGAACCGAAGATGGAAGAAAGGTGGTGACAACCGAGCGATAACCTGCTATCCCAGGAACGTGCTGCAAAACATGCTGCATCCTGGTGATTAAGGCTTTGGGCTCGTAGCTGAGTTTGCTTGAGGATCTTGTGCACTTGGTAATTCTTCCAATTCCGCTGCTTCCTGAGGATCAGCCACGCGGACAAGCGAGCTTGAAGAAAAACATAATTGTCGATTCCAACGGGACTGGAGGCTGCACCTCCAAGCAAGTTAGACATTATGTTTTTTTGGAACCTGGAGCTTTCCTTGAACACATTGTTGCGCTTACTTACCAGTGACTTTAATAATTCACCCTCACTAGATCTCACCATGTGTATAGACAAAAATTGGCCAACACTACTGCAAAGGTACAGTAATTTTGTGTAGGTGCCCACGTTTCCCTTGAAGTAGGCAGGAACAAACCTACAGCTATATACATATATTCTGTTAAAACAAGTTTCCCTGTTGCTCATCTTTTCCTTTCCTGGCAGCTTCTTTCTCAATCACTTTCAGCTCTCTAAGTAGGAATCCCCTTGAAAACGTCGTGCCAACTCCTCTTGAATTCTGAATGAACTCATTGGATTATTTCCCAGATTAACATTTAATGAAACATGAATAAGTTTTCCTGACACTCAAAGGGATTGGAGACAAACACATCTTCATGCGCCCACGAACCCTCTTATCACGATCTTAGCACAACACCCAAAAGCAACATGCAGGCAATGATCCGGAACAATGAATTTCCATGAATTTCTTTTAACGATGAACGATGTCCAATTGAATACCTTGTGACCTTGTGATCAATTTAGCTGATTCTGTTGTTCGTTTTTCCATTTTGAATGATCACCCTTTGTATCCCTTTCTATCCATCTTGATTTCTTGGGGGGTTTGCTCTGTCCAACCCCCCTTATTTCTTTTGGATTTTTTTACTGATTGTTCGTCATTCCTTTGAGCTCCTTTTGCGTCTTTCTCATGTTGTTTGGAACCCTGAAAAATTCCGAAGGGTCACTCGACCTCCAGTCTCTCGACCGATAAATACGAGCGTTGATTGGTTCATGCATCTTAACAGTTCAAGATAAACACACACACACACACTTAGATTCATAGATCCAGTGAAGGAACATATATTCAGAGAGTGACTCGCCGAATGACTACTTAGCACTTGACTCGGAATGAACTAAGAAAACAAAAACATCCGGTACATGAGCCACCATGAGTCATGAGACAAACCAAGGGACCACAGCAACCAATCAACAACAGCAGGTACGTTTACACCTCCCTGGTGCGCGGTCTTCACTGGCCAGCACGCGCACCAGGGAGTCCGTGCGAATTCCAGTGAGAACTGAGGTGGACACACTTAGATCCATGCTCGCAAGAGCTATATCAGCTTGTGGAACTCCAGCGTTACTGCAAGTAGACCTTTGCACGCAATTAGACCTTGGCTGAGGGAACGGAAAGGTGGCTGAGTCCGCGACAACAGTATGGATTGAACAGAGACGCACTAGCACTTGACGGAAGAATGGGGTAAACAGCTTGAACAACAGTTCAACAAGAGGGAAAGATGGAAACGTTACGCAGGTACACAAAGCTGATCAGGCTCTGCTTCCAGCACCAGTGAATAGCTTCGTTGGGTGCAGTTTCCACTGTGCTCTGCACCCCCTTGCTTGTCTGCACATCGAATGAAAGTTAGTGAGTTAGAATTAGATACTGTGGTTGTGCTCCTTGGAGACAGGAATTGACACTCACACACACACAAAAAAAACCTTCCGACTTTCGACGGGTTCCCAACAAACCTATATACAGTGCTTTTGAGCTTTGACCAAATCCAGGTAGATAGATGATTCCCTGCAAAGCTTGCTGCACTGAAATGAAGTGTCACCTCCAGATCTTCTCTGCCCCTTGGAGGAACACTCCTAGGGCGCAAGGTGGGCAAACCAGCTTGAGCTTCCTCGATCTGGAGGAAGGTCTTTTCATAGGAGAGCCGATCCTCCATGGCGCGAAAAAAACACCCCGGCTCGAGCCAAGCAAAACGCCTGTCAGCCATGCGAAGGAAGACATGGAACCCAGCAAAACGCGAAGTGCTTTCCAGGAATTTCATGGTATTCAGCTGCGCATCACAAGAAAGGCTAAACCAAAAGCCTTTCGGGAGATACACCTTCTCCGCGCCGGTGGCCCCGTGATTGGTATCTTTAGACAGATCTGTGAAAGGAACAGGTGGACCGGACCAATGAACCTTGTTGCTGTTTGTAGATCTAAAGCACCAGTTCCCAAGTACAGGTTCTGCCGCAAAAAAGCCGGTTCCCAAGTAACATTCCAGAAATCCAAGAAATCTTTGGATTTAAGATGATTTAATTAGTACTAATTAAGTGACATGTCAAAACCAAAAGCTCTATTCCATCTCGGCTCAGGCCTCGGCCTCGGCCTTCAGTGAGCTCAGGTGGAGAGAGAAGTCGTGACCACCGGTGACCTCCAGGCGGTGGAGAGGTCATCGGTAACTCTGGATGCACCGATCCGACCAACTCTGGACGCACCCAAATACGCACCAACGAAACGAAAGATGTCGGAAGAAATCAGTGAACCAATGCACGGTATGTATGGCTCAAGTCCCGTGATTCACAACACACAATTTCCAAACTTTGACTGTCCTGAACACACTCTTGCTTAGAACCAACCCTACTTGCGCCTACTTGGTTCCTTGGTACACTTTGTCCCGTTCCATGTTGCTGCTAAAGACAGAACCGAGGTTACAACAGCCATAGCAAAGCTACTGGTGTGTGCAATGGCATGGCCTCTTTTGAGACATGCAAGTAACCAGCAAAGCCAGTTGACTTCTTTGCAATCAATGCTTCTGCATTTCGTTATTTTTGACTATCAGCCAACAAATCCCACATGTTCTCACATTTGACAAATACTGGCAATGCATGGGATAATCTGAGGCCCCCAACCGACAATCGTTGCAAAGAACCCACCGGCCATGTTGCCAGCCGCGAGAGCGTCAGAAAGGAAGTTCGGGGTCACAAACAAAATCCTCCACCGCTAAGGTGGGATGATTGCCCGAGAGTAATGAAAGGGGCCCCGTTTTTAGCATGTCCTCAAAAGAAGACAATTCATTTGATGGCGGCCAAAGATATTTGTCGAATGGATCTTCATGCCCAAACGGTCCTCACGAAAGCATGGACCAACAATGGTCAGGGCTGGCCAGTCTGAAGTGAGCAATTTCATCCGGACCCTGCTCACTGCTCGCACAAGATTGTGGTGGAACACTATGGGAAAACTTTGCTCGAACACCGAGACCGAAGATTCGAAGAGACCACCTCCTTGCCCGTTGACGCAGCTCTCGCCAAAGGGTGCAAAAAGCCACATCCAGCACAGGCAACCAGCCCGGCTGCCAGGACTGCCCAAACTAGGCATCGAACCTGCAAAACCGAAAGACACCGTGCCCAGCGTGACGACGGTTGGTCATTGGTCTCAATGACTTTGGAATTGATGTGGTTCTGTGCAGTTGCAACTTGCTTCAACCAAACAACCTCCCTGGCCAAGCAAAAGAAACATCAAAGACCACCAAACATATGGACCAACAAACAGCCAGCCGCCAGTTCTTGCTAGTACACCGGCCAAAACATGCTAAAACCAGCGTTTTCAACTTTGGGATGCCACAATGTGAAATGATGTGCTTTCAACTTTTGGATGCAAAAGTGTTCAATGTGCTTCCACCATGGTTCTTCTGCGAAACCCGACCCCACTGCAGTCTATTGTGATGCCAGGCCAGTGATCCTAATTCCTGAAACCTGATCCTGAGTCTCAGAATCCTGATTCCATCTGATCCCAAGTTCCCAATCCCGGATGTAGGAGGCTAAACTCTTTGCTCATCAGAACGCCTTGCCGATTGGGTTCTCATCCCTAACCAGAATCCTGATCCACCCGAAGAGTTGGAGATCGTCGATGGTATCTGCCATATTCAAGTGTTTCATTGCATCCCGAGCATCACCAGGGATGCTGCCAAAAGGTTGAAACCTTCTCCCAAATACTTCAGATGGGATGGGAAAATTTTAACTAAAAGGGCTCTAAAAATTATAGTTGTCTTTGGGTTCTTCCTTTCAACATCTTTCAACGACACTGACATTATTTTGATGATGCCCGCTGCCCAACCTTGCGCGGTGGCCAACACAGTACCAGTGCTGGACCGTCTACAAAGATGGGGCCCCCTAGTTAAAACACTTGTAACTTACTTGGTGAAGTTACAAATTACTTAAAACTAAGTTAGCCGGAGGGCTTCGTAAGTAAGATGTAACTTAAATGTAACTATTTTTAAGTTCTATAAGTTCTAATTCGTGATTTTTGATGTTCAAAATCTATGTTTTTCAGGTTTCCCAGTAGCAAGGCCCAAACCGAAGGACATCGAAAAACTATGCTTTTTACCTGGGAAAGCGCTGCTGTTGCAAGGGTTTTTAATGTAGAACACTCACCGCGCCGCTTTGCTGAAGAAAAGCAAAAAGCAAAACAAAAAAAAGAAAAAAATGCGCTTCGAATTTCTTCGGTGGACCACCACCGCGCTAAAAGAAAAACACTTTCTACTTTAAACCATCAAAGCGCGTAAGAAAAACAGAACACACACAATGACCTACATCTGTGTGTTAGGAACACGCTGGGCGGTGGTCCGTCCAAAAAAATGAAGGCGATGGTCCGTCCAAAAAATTGAAGGCGGTGGTCCGTCCAAAAAAGTTGATGGCGGTGGTCCGTCCAAAAATTTTGATCGCGGTGGTCCGTCCAAAAAGTTGTGGCCGGTGCCCAAAAAACGCGGTGCACCCTGATGAAAAAGAGGCTATATGTACAGTAGATGTACGGTAGATGTACGGTAATGTACGGTAGATGTACGATGATGTACGGGAATGTACGGTAATGTACGGTAGATGTACGGTAGATGTACGGTAGATCTGCCGTACATCTACCGTACATCTACCGTACATTACCGTACATTCCCGTACATCTACTGTACATATAGCCTCTTGTTCATCAGGTTACATCAGATCTTTTGAGGGACTGTGTGTGTGTGTGCGTCTTGTGATGCGTCACGGACAGGCAAGGATCTACTCCTCAATTTTGGGGCGTGATCCAGCTTAATGGCTTCTAGTTGTTCCATGGCCTACATAATGGATTCGTTACACTATATTCTACTACGTGTGCGTGTTGCATATTTATGTGTTTCTGTGTGCAAAGTACTACTCTGTCGTACGGGTGGACCACCACCCCACAAATTTTTCACGACTAAAACATAAAAAACAATCGCGCCCATAAAAACAGAAAAAATGTTTCCAAAACAACACAAAATACAAAGATTTGCTAATCAGTCTCAGTTCTACACAAACAAGAAGAGTACACCAAAAAACATTGAAAAACGCTTCTCTGCAAACCCGTCCACAAAAAACATAGCTTTTTCAATGCAAAAAACCTAAGTTCCCTAAGTAAGTTGTAAGTGATTTAGCACTAATTTAGCACCCTCCAACATAAACTAGGATAACTTACTTATATATATCGAAAGTAATTTGTAACTGCAACGTAAATACCACCAAGAACTTAGAACACTTCACAATCTTAGACCAGCTTACAACATCAGTTAACCCATGTTATAACATATGTTACGGCACTTTACAAGTTCTCCAACTAGGGGGGCCCATCTTTGTAGGCCCACCTCCGCAGTCGGAATCCTGATTGGCCGTCGGCCTCGGGAGCCTTCAGAGGCGGAAGGAAAGAGAATTGCGTCAGGTGGATTGCAGGCGGAACATGTGTTCTGTGCACCTGCATGTACTCTTTTTAGAGCCCGTTGTCTACCAAGTCGAGTCACAAGTTGCCCAGTCGTGAGACCCTCACATACAAGTAGTTCCCGGGCAAGCCGGCGGCGGAAGTTTCCAAAAGAATAAACCTATAGGAAATGGGCATGTGGCAGGCTGATTCGCCGAGCTGCGATGTTCTTTGACAAAACAAGTTGGAACCGACCAATGGAGCAAAATACAGAATAGAGATGACTCAGCCGCGTACTAAAGTAGTACTACAAAGTCGCCAGTTCTCAGCTTCCAGCTCCACGGCTTGCTCCGCGTACTAGAGTTGTACTACAAAGTCGCCAGTTCTCAGCTTCCAGCTCCACAGATACTCCGCGTACTAAAGTTGTACTACAAAGGTCGCCAGTTCTCAGCTTCCAGCTCCCCAGTTTGCTCCGCGTACTAAAGTGGTACTACAAAGTCGCCAGTTCTCATCTTCCAGCTCCACAGATCGCTGCGCGTACTACAGTTGTACTACAAATTTGCCAGTTCTCAGCCTCC